CACATGGCCACTCCTACAACAGACACAGCTGTGGCTTCGGTCAGTGGAAAGGGCGGGGCTCCGGAGAAAGGCGACACTGCAGGACAGCAGGGGGCCAGACGTGTCGCTGAAGAAGAGAAGCATGCTGGGAAGAGGGGGGAGGGGCCAAGGAAGAAGAAGAGTGCGCCCATCACCCCAAAGTCTTCCAGCTCCCCAAGCTCTGTCTCACTCCCTCGTTCCAGAACAGCCCCTCGATCCTCTGCGGGAGGGACGAAGAAGGACATCCTGGCCAAGTTCCAGCAGAGCTGCCCCGAGTGAGTCTGTCTGACTGTGCCACTGTGCTCGGATCCTGTAGGGTCTGTCGTGTGTGAGCAGCTGTCTGATCACTGAGGACTGACTGCTCTCAGGGCAGCATTCATGTACTGTCTCTGTACCCTTTACACTGACTACACACACATGAGCATGTAGTAGCTACTGCACTAATATATACACAGCAATCAAGCCATTCTTACAAGGGAGGAGTACCTGTATCAATGTAAGACATGTGTCAGTGTCTGAGTGTGTCATTGTGTCAGAATGGCAGTGTGTCAGTTTGTCTCAGAGTGTATCAGTGTGTCAGTGTTTCTCAGAGTGTCAGTGTGTCACTGTCTCAGTGTGTCTTGGGACAGTAACTTTTCAATGGGTCAGTGCACTGTCCTGGTGCCAAGTCACCTCACGAGCCACAGGAGGAGAGGCTGGCCTGTTACTTCAGTGGGTCAGTAAGATTGGGAGCTGTTGCGATTCTGGGAGGTGTGGGAATTCTGGGATTTAGATTTGTAAATTTGAATTCTCTGTTATTTGTTACAGTACAGCAGGAAGTGCACCTCTGTCTCTGTTTCTCTCCGCTGGCAGTGGGAGCACAGCCTGTCCTCTCTGGACAGCCAGGTCTGTCTGTGTCCAGTTTCTATGGCCAGGCTGTGGTCACTGAGCCTGTACTTCCTCAGGGTCTGTTTCTTTTCCCTGTTTCTTATCTTGGTCAAATACTCGACTAGTGTGTATTGTCTGTTTAGGGTTCTGTAGCATTCCAGTCTATGTTGTGTTTGTGTGTGTGTGTCCCAGTGTGTGAGATATTGCTGTTTGATCTGTGCTGTGATGTGGTTGAGTCTGGGTTGTGGTGCTCTAGCAGTGCTGTCCTGAGGCTGGTTAGTGTCGGTGTGGCTCAGGTCAGTGAGCCTCAGGACCAGCTGGCTCAGGGGGATCTTTGCTGGGCTCAGCTCTTGGCTCAGCAGGGCCTTCTGATTTTGGTCGCTGTTTTTTAGGTGTAGCCAATACTTTATTACTCTCTTCTGTATGTTTATCAATAACGGGTACTGGCCTAATTCAGCCCTGCACGCACTGTTAGGAGTTTTATTCTGCACGTGGAGGATGTTTCCTCTCTCTCTCTGGTCTGACACCTGCCTGCCCCCTCCTGGCAGATCAGAGCACTGCAGCACAGCCTCCACTTGTATTGGACTCAAGGTCGTCAGGAAGCTGACGTTTCTGAGGAGTGAAATGCTGTTGAAAGGGAACTTCCGAAAAGACAGCAGCTCTAGAACACCATTCTTCATGGGCCATCCTGGGCTTTCGATTACTGGGTTTTAGATGATTGCTATGTGTCCTGTTCAATGTCATCAGCACTCCCAGAGTGTCAGAGTGCACCATACGCATCTCTCTCTGTCTCTCACCCAGGGGGCCTGTTATCCCCAACTTCAAAGTTCAGAGGTCGCGCAGGGCAGGTGTGTCTGACGGGTCATCTGTGAAGCAGCGTCTCCTGCAGTGGTGCCGCAAGAGGACCGCGGGATACCCGGTAACAATAACAAGAGTAACGAGCTGTGTGAGCAGAGTGCCAGGCAGTGGACACGTTACTACAGTGTACACGGGTCTTCGCAGCCAGATTTAATCAGAACGGGACAATATATGGGGGTGCTGTCAGGGCTCTGGACTGCAGGGCTGTGGAGCATGGGGCACCCAGTATCTTGTCTGAACCCCTCTCTGGGCTGGATTCTCCCTAAAGATCTCCCACAACCCCCCTGGTGCAGCAGTTCCTCTCGGCTGCCCTGATCTGTGAGCAGTGGGGCTGCTGTGTCACTTCACTGGGTGAAGTCCAGTACTCCAGATCACCCCCAATCCCCCTGGTGCAGCAGTTTCTCTCTGCTGCCCTGATCTGTGAGCAGTGGGGCTGCTGTGTGTCACTTCACTGGGTGAAGTCCAGTACTCCAGATCACCCCCAATCCCCCTGGTGCAGCAGTTTCTCTCTGCTGCCCTGATCTGTGTGCAGTGGGGCTGCTGTGTGTCACTTCACTGGGTGAAGTCCAGTACTCCAGATCACCCATAACTCCCCTGATCTGTGCGCAGAAGGGCTGTACTACAAGGGGAGGAAGTGGTTGCCAGGTATGACTGTTTATCTATAAGGATGTGCAGTATGTGTGGCAGCTCAGCCATGCTGGTGTCTCTCCTCTCAGGGAGTGTCCATAGAGAACTACTCCTCCTCCTGGTCGGATGGGCTGGCGTTCTGTGCTCTTGTCCACCACTTCTTCCCTCACGCCTTCGACTTCTCTTCTCTGAGGGCTGAGGACAGAGAGAGAAACTTCAGCCTGGCCTTTACCACTGCAGAGTGAGTCTGCCTTCAGGCTCTCTGTGTGATGACCTGCCTCTACATTAACAGTCTCTGTGTGATGACCTGTCTGTCTCTTCACTGCCAGTCTCTGTGTGATGACTGTTCTGTCTCTTCACTCCCAGTCTCTGTGTGATAATGACCTGTCTGTCTCTTCACTGCCAGTCTCTGTGTGATGACTGGTCTGT